AATCAATGCACGAACGGATATAATTATGAATGATTACATTTAGCGGTTATATATATGTATATCTCGTTTTTGTTCGTATTCAGAGAATTACAAAACAACGTAATTATGAGACATCACTGGTCACTTTTACTAGATGAGCACTATCGATAGCAATGGGCGATTTCGACACGTGGATAAGGAATACAAGATACTAATGCTCCATTAGAAATGATACATTTACGTGTCAAAAGTGTGTGCCTGGTTTCAGCCTCGGTGAAATACAAATGTCGGTGAACTCCTCATACACTAAAATGAATTAAACAACAGTTAAGCATAATTATACTTCTTGGAGTACACCATACAAGTATTCTACTTTAACTCTTAGATATATTAATCGCTGTATAAACGAACTGATTTTTTTGTTTTTAATGAATTACACGAGAACTTTATGTTTCCCGTGGCAACGGTGTTCAGTCTACGTGTTGACTTGAAGTTTAAATCTTGTTTGCATGGCACTAAGCGACAACACGCACGTCAAACATAAACCTTGTTCGTATTGTTTCTCGTTTCCTGTGGCAAATATTTTTTTTTAAATATCCCCATGAAATGTTAAACCAGTCGCGTTCAATTTCTTCCGTTTGTCGTAATAGTCCCGGTATGATGCAATCATGTCACGTGACGATACATGTGTGTATAACATGTGTGTATACAGATATCAATATGTATTATTTTATCGTCTCTTTGGCAGTGTACATGCTCCAAGAATGCGACAAAGTCGTGACGTCATCAGTAGGTGGCAGGATTTATTCTCAGTTGTCCAGCAAGTATACCAATAATGTTGATTGCATTTTGACACTGTGGTCCCCGGAACCATGGCAACGAATCTCAATAGAAGTAAGTTTTAAATTAACACACACGAGTTGGATGTGTTGGACGTTGAATCCCAATTTTCCTAATACACACTTGTTTGTTCACAATCAGATAGCGGAGATTTTTCACTTGAGTTTCTCTATTGATCTAATGATAACAGCGTAACTTACAAATCACTACATATTCTGTCGACATCCATCGTCTTCGGTGGGTGATAAATAAATCCTATTCAAAATACTTTGATATTGGGGTGACCAACCTATTTTTTCCGAAGATGGTGGAAATATGGCAGCCTTGCTAGTTTTAAAACCTGTTTATCATTGTGTCTTTCCATGACATGTTTGTATCACAACTGACATGATACTAACTGTTCTCTCGAATTATTTTTAAAATCAAGGGTATACTGTTGTTTTAGTGACGCCGTTTTATGGATGCATAAAACTTGGCACAACAAATATTTAAAGAAAAAAGTGTCCTAAAACAGGTTACTAAAAAAGTAACAATGTCTAAAATTAACAAAACTTAGCTCTTTTCATTCAAAATTTGTTAAAGCATGACGTTTTTCCACATACTATTGTTACTGTTATATTGGTCTATATTCTCCTTCTTTTCTAAATGAGGTTCTTGATCTGGGCTATAGGAACGGTGGCCGCACGCTCAAACTTTATTCAACTCTTTGAAAACGCATATAATACATCAGTTTTTGAAGATTCTAACATATAAACCTCGCCCTCTAAAGTTACACTAGCCAATCACATGACAATGACTCATCTTATTCGAACATTTAGCCAATCAGAGTCACTTCCGTTAACATTATTCATGATTCATGACACATAATGTCACTTCTGGGATTGGTTCGTATCTATCAACTGTAACCTCGGGGATTACTTTCCGAATTATATATGATGTCAAGTAATGGTGGAAAGTTGTACAAATAATTTCGCACGTGGTAAATTACTCATTTGAAACTGTTGTTCAGATAAAATCTGTTGACCTGACAGCAAATACTAATATGCCAAACAGTATCATCAAATCACACTAACCATAGACCTTAGAGAAGATATATGCGCTAACACAGAGATTGTTTATAACCATCAAAATAATCTGTCACACTACTGTCATAGCAGATTGTATAGATAAGAAGTTTATTGATATACTGGTTTATTTTCCCCATTTAGTTCGACGACGTGAATTTCGAATACGATGACCGTGGCAAATGTGTTGACTTCATCAACGTATACGATGGTGGTTCTATCAACGGGCAACTTATGCAGCAAATATGCGGACGCAATTTCGAAAGGCTGGACTACGAAAGCAGCGATAACATTCTGACGTTGCGTTTAGTTACCAATAGCAATCGGGTGAATGTGGGGTTCTCTGCAGTGTTTACAACATTCAGCAATGGAACAACGTGTACGTATATGCCGAGTTATTTATGTTTATAGAATGTGAACACGTGTGTGTAGCTGTCTAGGGGGTGAGGTATAATGTATTTTGAAGAAAAGTTTGATATATAGTAACAATTTACTCACGTTACGGTGATCGATGCGTATATTGTAACGTCAATCAAAACAAGTGTCAAGAACAACAGTTGTCTAGTAGTGTTGCTCACTAAGTTTTCAAATTATTGAACAATGTTTCAGTAATTCCAAAGCGTCATAGCCGTCACGCAGCGTGCGTTCGTATTCCCGGTAAACGAACAATGTATTATATATTGAAGATAATATTTGGTAATCGTAGTCCTAAATAACTATTAAAATAGCTAGACGTTTCGAGCAATGGCTCTTTATCGATAGCATAGAAGCAAGTGTGAAAATGTGAAATGTATTATACACGCGTTGTTTTTTATTTCGCGTAGGACCCGTGTCGAACGTGACGCGGCGCGACGTCTGTGACGCTTTAAGTATATACATTTCCGTTATGTACATTTAAATGTTACTTTACGTCACCATGGTTCCATTTTCCTCTCACAGATTCTTGCAATGTTACGCATGCGTACAACTGCATGAATGGACGCTGTATACCACCGAGTCTGCAGTGCAATGGAGATAATAATTGCGGGAATAACAACGACGAATTCAATTGTTCAGGTAGGTTTGTCTGGTACCTCGACAGATAAAATACTAGTAGATTATGCACGGTCCACAATCACTGAGTGTTATTTAGTTGACCTTAAATACCAGTAAACAAATAACCAATACTGGAATTTGGTTGAATCGACGAAGACATGTAATGCCGATACTACTGATAAAGAAAAGAATTTTCTTATAAAAAGTGATGCGATTGTCGAAACAATCAAATAATAATATTAGATCCCCAATAATCACACTAAATCAAAATATACAGTAGTTATTGTGCCCTCCATGAACTGTCATGAGAAATATACTTTGATTGATATTTTAATTGCAGGTGAAGATTATGATTATGATGATAACCATGATAATGATGATGATGATGATGATGATGATGATAACGATTGTGATAATACTAATATTGCCGTTAAAGAGTATAATCTTGCCACTGCTGAGATTGTCGCAATTATTTGTGGTGGGTTTATTGGCATGGTGATCATTACAGTAGTCGTCTTTTTTGTACGTGACAAGAACCGAAAGAAATCTGGTAACACCACGCATGCGCACTCCGATCTATCCCTCCAGCCAGCAATCGAGCTCGGCCAACCAACTCAACGAGGAACAGTACCACCCGCTTACAGCGCCCTCTATCTGAACAGAGACCAGACGATGGATGTATCGATCATATCTGTATTACCGATAGAGTAGCAATTTAGAATGGAGTTATTAATGATATACTAGTAATTACAATTGTGATGATATCCCGACCATTCTTCGGGTATTATCACCACTTTGTAGGCAGTTGACGCATATTTAAAAGAATATTCATATTTAATTCGAGAGTGAGTGGTCGGTAATAATAGACTGGACTATTAGTGTTTTTAAATCGTTTTTCTTTTCAAAATAAAGCGATATACTGATTTTTAGAAGTGGGATTAAAGGACAAATCTCTTATTTTGTTTATAAATGACTTTACTAGGACAGTAAGATCGGATATCCAAGATAATTGACACACAGAAAGTTTCTATACAATGGATTATTTGTTTACGGGTTTGAGGATGTATATAACATTTATTGGCCCAAGCTTGTTGAGATTTGTTTCGTTGAACTGCGTTGTCATGACAATCGTTGTTGCTATTGAGAGGTCGTGTAACATTTGTGTTAGAATAATGACACAGAATAACAGAAATCGATTCGGATATACAATAGTATATTTATTGTGATAATTGAATAAAATATGTGACTAATCTACAAAAAATACAATTACGGAATAAATAAACTGACATAACTGTCAGTCAACATCCCACAATGCAAAGCGAAATGTTGGTGCACAACCTGGAGCATCGTCCAAAATAAATCTCACTTTGACCAACTTCCTGACACAAAGGCTCATGGGACAAGGTAAGATTCTGCATGCGTGGCTGTTGATGAGTGGGTGCGTTGTGCTGATTACATATACTTTATACGGAATGTATGAAACGTGGATCACTGTCATATATGTTTACATGGTGAATCCCAACCGTCGTCGTGTTCGATAGAGGTCCCACGCGACAATGGTAATGATTTGACATTTTAGATTACTGTGCATCCACGGTGTTTCTTAGACTTGTCTGATTGTGCCAGACAAAAATAAGATAAAATGTTACTACTAAGAAAAAAATCAATTTCCCGATTTGAACGTTTCGGGTTTATTTCGCCTTCGGTTCATAGTTTTACAAATAAAGCGATATTATATATACTTCTACATGATGCTCCCTTGGTTTTGGAACGTCTAACAATTAATTGTTTGTTTGTTTGTTTGCGAGAAATTCGACCGCAATTCGATTTATAAGAAATCATAAATTCATGGTTACTGTAATATAAATATAATACATATAGTTATTTGCAGAATAACTTCACACGTACCACACAACGTTATATCGACAGTGGGGTTTTCATTAATTCTAAAAGAAGCATACCTGTCGAATCAGAACCACGCAAAGTAAAATACTATCCGTTCATTGGCCAGATTAAATGCTGCACGCGAGGAATCGTAGACGTAGGCTAGATGCATATATTAGGTATAATTTTTAGTAATCTAATTAATATACTACGATGTGTCGATTGTCACTGTGGTTGGCGTATTGAACTCCCGCGTGATCTGGTTTATAACGCGAGAGTTCAACATTAAGTAAATATTGAAGAATGACATTTAAATATAACAACATAAACACTTTTCAAGGGTTTGCCATATATGGAATCAGGGGTACTTACTTGGGGTTTGCAACAACAGTGACATGATACTAAAATCCCATCACAATCTCGCTCTCGCATAAGCGTTCCAACTCAGAAAAATGCAAATGCGCATGCCCGAGGTAACTAGGATACTGGGATGTCCAGGTGGATCAAAATAGCTGCCCACGATATGACGGATTACGAGAACTATATTTTCTGTACATTTTCGATGTATTACATTTTTCACTATGATAGTGACAAGAAAAGTTATATTTTTTATTACAAACCTTGAACATTGATATATGTCATGTCAGAAGGTCGTAGCCTCAGTCTCGCTATCTACGAGAAGAGACTTGAATGGGATCTTGACATGATGTCACCATACAGTACTATGCGAGTTGAAAACCCCAAGTAATGTACCTCTGATGGAATATAATGCGCATATAGTAATAAATAAAAAAATGTATAATATTTGTTGTATCATTTATTGGAAAATATTTAGGAAAACATACTATACTAAAACAACTAGCCACAATAAAAATATACACGTGACACCTATCATGTCAAAATATCGCACAGTTACGAACTGCGATATGATGTTGGTTTCCTTACGGCACTGACAATCTCGTCCCACAGACATGAATTAGCCACATAACGTACCTATGACAGATATAAAAGTTTCGAAAGATGCAATTTTTACAAAGTAGTACTAGTACTATGGATATGACGCCAGGAACGGAACCGGGGACGAGGCTATCTAGAGAGTGTGTATTTTTACAAGTACATCGCCGGATTACACCATCAATTCTACATCATGTACTTTTCTGCATGTTGGGACTGGGCATTATGGGTAACGTGGCGATGCTGGGCGGGCGATGTACTATGAAGGCAGCGACTCTGGCATCGAAATGTTGCGGCAGAACAGACAGCCCAAAATGCGGATGTGAGTAAAGGTAAGCGGGCTGTGGAAAAGCTTGGGCAAGAACTCGAAGATGCGCTTGACTGATGGCGGCACGCTCGTGTAAATAAGTGCTGTGACGTGTTTCACTAGTAAAGTAAGGGAAAAAACTGGTCTTCTGTCTTGAGTATACATCCTCTTGCCTCGGCTTTGTCGTCGGGAGATTGATGATCGAAATCGGTATCTGGAAGATAAAACCATGTAATAAGTGACAAAACACGTAGTGTTTGGCTACTAGTAAAATACGACGGTCCACTCATTATACTCAACTCCGCCAACGCCTAGAAGCGATGTTAGTAATTATTAAATGCGACCACCGATTGGCCGTAAACTCGTCATTTGAGATCGCGTGATTATGGGAATTTCCTGCGTCGATTACTTCTAAATAATATACAGTGTGTGTTTTCATTGTTAATCCATCTAGGGGTACTACTGGTACTCCCTTGTTCCATTTATTGTGCACCGTCACAGACGGACAATACCCGCACTCCACTGACGCCTAGGTTGGATACTAGTACACGTAATATTATCAGGCATTCATATATATATATGCAAAATCAACATTTTAGGATGCTACATTGTGAAAATATAATACAATTCGTTCATTGGTCAATTTG